TAAAAGGCACTGAGGATGTTAATGTGTTGAAATGCTGGATGGACTGCAGGCAGGGTATTACACTCTTTACAGTACAGAGCCTCTGAAAGCCAGCCAGATCTCTCTTTCTCACTCTGCCTCGACAGATATTTCAGCTTATGTCTCACTAAAATGAATCATTGACTCTTTTTTTTTCTTAGTAATGCCTCATGCTGTTTTACTCATTACAACCTGTTCGTTCCGATGATTGTTTTTGTTTCTGGAGGTCAAACAGGATGCTGTGGCATGTAGGCTATTAGGGAGAAGTGTTGTTTGCCATTCAATACTGAGTTAGGGGTGATTTATTCTTTTCTGAATATAAAGTAGCAAACTCATTCAAAAATAATTATATTAGTTAAAAAATTTGTCATGACAAATGTTGCATTTTGTTTTGAAAAAGTCTTGAAGTGAGAAGGTTTATGGGCGTAAAATGTATTTATTATTCAGGGTTGACCAAGCTGGGAAAGGGCCCTGTGAGTTCTGTGAGGTAATCCAGTCACACGGTAAAAACGACGCTTATGGCGTAATACAGAATGTCATGAAACATGCCAAATTTACATGAACAAATTCACAGAAAAACTGTACTTAATCAGGTTGGGAAGTGTACATGTACTAGTGTTTGTGAATATAAAGCCTTTAAAAGAAGCCTTAAATTAAAAGTGTGATCAGGACAACTTGTCACAATAAAAGTTTTTTTTTTTACTTAAATATTCTTCTTTAAGTAATAATAATATTACTACTAATAATTAAGTAATTACAATGTGAAGAATAATCTTACAGTATGTCTCAAACATAAATGTAACAAAATTAATGTAATTCATTTAACAAAATTGTATAAATTAATTGTAAAGTTGTACATGATTTAGCTTGTTCATTGCAAAAACTTGATTGAACCAATAAAATAGAGTATATGGACATTGTAAATTGGGGAATAAAACAGATTATATAGGGCACTATTGGCAAAACACTCCAGAAAATGTAACAAAATAAAAGCAAAATTTAAAAACAAGTGTGAAATATTATTAAAAACTAGTTTATTAATTATACTAATATAACACCTGTGATTAAATAAAAATGCACCCTATCTGTTCTGTTCTTCATTCATTTAATTAGGCTTTTAAAAATCTACATCATAATTTATAATCTTTGTTCAAAAGAGTCTCAAACATTAGTTGCATCAGCAGTTTTTTTATTAGGGTTGGAGCAAAACTGTGCAGAGCTTCGGCCCTTTAGGAATTGAGTTTGAGACCGATGTTTTAAAAGAAGCCTAAAATTAAAAATGTCATCAGGACAACTTGTCACAATAAAAGTTTTTTAAAACTTCAAAAAGTGACTGAAATGTTTTCCTGTTGTACAGTAAAATATTATTTGTCAAGTAATAATAATAATATTACTATTAGTAATAAACTAATTACAATATGAAAAATAATCTCAGGAGAAACAGGAAGTTATAAATGTAATGAAATAAATGTAATTCATTTAGGAAAATTGTATAAATCTGATTGTAAAGTTGTACATGATTTAGCTTGTTCATGGCAAAAACTTGATTGAACCATTAAAATAGAGTATATGGACATTGGAAATTGGGGAATAAAACAGATTTTATAGGGCACTATTAACAAAACACTCCAGAAAATGTAACAAAATAAAAGCAAAATTTAAAAACAAGTGTGAAATATTATTAAAAACTAGTTTATTAATTATACTAATATAACGCTTGTGATGAAATAAAAATGCACCCTACCTGTTCTGTTCTTCATTCATCCGACTTTTTAAAATCCAAGTGATTATTTTATCTTGCAACATTATTATTATTTTTTTGACAATGAACCTGGCTGCATCAATGTTGACTGTAATTCACATTAAATCACTTAGTTTTCGGTTTTTTTCAGATTATAAAAGAAAGATTCACCACTTCCGTTGCACTGTGACTTGAAAATGTCTGACGTCTTCATAGGCAGCTCCGTAGGCTTTGGAGCAGTGCTTGTGTGTTTGTGACAGTCCTGTTATCCATATCATAACCACCCTGAAGTTCTTGTGTACAGTGAGCCAAAGAGGCATGTCACTTTGAATCACACACAGTCTCTAACCTTCTAAGCTCGTGCTGGTTCTCAACACACATTCACGCGTACACAAATTGGCCTGCAGTAAATGCGAGCGGCGAGTGATGAGGTCATTTAAAGCATACAGAATCTGCCTGACTCATACATCCTCATCCTCGGAATGTATTACTTCAGCATGAATACCAGTTTATTCACCATACGCTCAACCAGCTGTATGAGGAGATGGCGCGAGAGGCTGTTTGGCCCATGCAGAGTGAGCATGATGCTATGCTTCACTCAAAAAAATCACACTTGCTGTTTGCTCAGACTACTTATTTAAAATGAGCTGAAATAACACAATTCTTGAGTTTTTTTGGGAACAACCAAATTGTTTTACTTTGTTTTGTAAAAACTAATGTTGAAGATGAATCTCAGGTGACCTCTGTAAAACCACTGTTGCTTTTTACCTTGATTTTGCACAAGGGACTTAATGTGGAGTTTGCTAAGTAGCCGGGTTAGCTCAGTTGTTTGAATGTCTTCCTACTATTTTTGAATGATTCTTTACTAATGCCTTAAGAGTCTAAATTGTTGTGTTGCAGTTTACACAGCCTTTAAAGGGTGTACTCACACTAGACAGAGTTGCCTTGAACTTAGCTTGAGTGTGATTTGTCTCAACTGCCCCAAACTCGCATTGGATTTTTTACTTTTCAAGCCAGAACATACTTCATTATCGATGCTACTATTTAGAAAGAATCCGGAAAGAAACACTCACTACAGTTTGTGTGTTATTTTGAATCACTTGGGACACTGGTTGATTGACCACAAGGAGTTACCATCTTTGATAAACTATGACAGTTGGCGTTCACTGTGGTATCAAATTTGATTAACCCTTTATTGTTTACTACTTGGAAATTTTTTTTTGGCCCACATGAATTGAATAATATACTGATACAACTCTGATAAATATTATAATATTTTATGACAATGATAACCTACGAATAAAAGGTCAACTAGATGGTTACGATGCCTGTTAAAGAGTTAAAACTTAAGTCCTTACTTCATACTCGCATCCAATACCTCAGTTTGTCATGGGGGCAAAAATTAAATGTTCCTGAATGAAATGAAAGTGCTGAATTGCAGTTAAAGTAAAAAGATGTCAAATGAAACACCCGAAATGAAGGGCTGCATGGTGGCGCAGTGGGTAGCACGGTCGCCTCACAGCAGGAAGGTCACTACTTAAAGCAAAGCCTCTGCTGGGTCAGTTGTCATTTCTGTGTGGAGTTTGCCTGTTCTCCCCGTGTTTGCGTGGGTTTCCGCCGAGTGCTCTTGTTTTCCCCACAAGTCCAAAGACGTGGTACAGGTAAACTGGGTAGGCTAAATTGTCCATAGTGTATGTGTGTAAATTAGTGTGTGTGGATGTTTTCCAGTGATGGTTTGTAGATGGAAAGGCATTATGATATGCTGGATAAGTTGGCAATTTATTCAGCTGTGGTGACCCCAGATTAAAAAAGGGACTAATCTGAAAAGAAAATGAGTGTATGAATAAATGAATGATACCTGAAATGGCATGAAACTCCAGAGGAAACGTGGATAGTATGGTGACGCAATGACATTAATCGAATTATGTGCTATAACATGTAAAATGGGATCATGAAATAAACATTCAAAAAGCAACAATGGCCCACCACTGCCAACCAAACCAGGTCTGGCCAACCGAACTGCGCTCAAAGTACTCACACTTGTCATACGAATCAGGATTTGGGGGTCAAACACTCGGGCATGATTTGGATAGCTTATTTTGAGTACACCTCGAGATTAATTAATTATATAAATATAGAGAGATATAATCAAAAATATAGGTAAATGAAAGTTTTATAAAACGACTATTGCTTCTCTATAAGCTTCCTCCTCTACCAAAGCAACATTTCAGATGTTGTGCATCATGGCTGGCCTGACCTTAATGCTCCCATCAAGTCCATTTTAGATAGATTTTTTTATGCACTTGCTGAAATTTATTCAGTAAATATTTTTAATTGTAGTTTTTGTCTTACTGGATAAAAAAGTTTAACCTACTCAGTCGGTAGCATCTCTTTCCGAAATTCATGTGCAACTTAAGGGTTTCCATTAAGCATGTTTATGCTATACTTCAAAATGTGCATAAAAATAGGTAAATGGAAACATAGCTACTGATTTCTTTATGAATTTTTGACTTCAGTCTTTTTAAAGTTTGATGATGAGCATATTGTTACCCACTGCACCCAAATAAATTACACTTGGTTTTCTCACTAATAAACTGGTGAGCAATTCCAGCTGCAACATTGAACCAATTGACCATTACGATTCCTCAAATTATTCTGTTCTCTCATGCTTCTGTGAATGGCTAAATATTTGGAAGACCTAAATGTGTTGGTGACATTGTGCAGGTATTCTAGAAATCACAGATTTGGAATTTTACAAACAAATTTCCCAAACTTCGCTTTCTATGGCTGAAAGTCTTTGGGTTTTTATCTGCTGTTAGGGGGTTCTAATCACTTCAGAACAGCTCATCATCTTGTACAAACAAAACTGGAAAGTTAGGCAGCCAGTTAAATGGGTATTGTCTGAATATGTATAATATAATGTATAAATGTGTTCTTTTAAATTGAGTGTGTTATGTAATTTAAGTTTTTGCTTATGCCTTTCGGAATGTATGTATGAAAAATTTTAAAACTAAGTAGGACAAAACAGTACTGCATTTGGGAAAATGTAGATTATTCTGTCATTTTAATCTCCACTGTACTAAATGTAAATATCGTATAGCTTTGTTCAGGAACTGGAGGCAAAAAATCTTCCTTAACATTTCTTCAAGGGAATGCAAAATTGAACAGCTGTCTGTGTATTACAGACATTTCTAAATCTGTTGTAGCGTTCATGTTAAATTCCTTGACCTATGATTCTCACTCCATTTGAGTACATGATCCTGGCAACCATCATCGCTAACTGCATTGTCCTGGCCCTGGAACAGCACCTTCCAGACGGGGACAAGACACCTATGTCAGAGCGTTTGGTAAGTTCAGGTCTTGTTGATCAATGTTACTTTGTTTCTAGAAGCTACATACTGTAACTCAACATAAATCCCAGAATATAATTGGTCTCTGTGTGATTCTTTTTTGAAGAAATGGTAAACTCACTCTTGTTTCCCCATGTCCATTTGTTTGTCTTTCTCTCTCACAGGAGGACACAGAACCCTACTTCATTGGCATTTTCTGTTTCGAGTCAGGCATTAAGATATTAGCTCTGGGATTTGCCTTTCACAAGGGCTCCTACCTACGAAATGGCTGGAATGTGATGGACTTTGTAGTGGTGCTTACTGGGTAAGTCTGAACAAAATCTGCATGCTTAAAGCGATCACTAAGAATAAATTGTGTATTGTTTATATGCCCATCCTGCCCATTTAGTTTTAACAGTCATTCTCTAGAACAGGGATGGGCAAACTTGATCCTCGAGGGCCAGTGTCCCTGCAGAGTTTTGTTCCAACACTAGTCAAACACACCTGAACAAACTAATCAGTGTCTTCAAGATCACTAGAAATCTATAAGCAGGTGTGTTTAATTAGAGTTGGAGCTAAACTGTGCAGGGCATTGGCACTCCAGGACCGAGTTTGCACACCCCTGCTCTAGAATCATACAAATTTAATAGGGGAAATTTCTCCAAAATAATTTTGATACCTCGACAGAAACCATTATTGAAAACACAAATTCTTAAAAAAAAATAATAATAATAACGATAAGTGTTTTTAATATTGTTTATATTGTTTACATGTCTATTTAGGTTTTTTGATTGCTTAAGGCAGGGGTGTCCAAACTCTGTCCTGGATGGCCGGTGTCCAGTAGAGTTTATCTCCAACTTGCTTCAACACACCTGCCTGGAAGTTTCTAGTATGTAGTAAGAGCTTGATTAGCTGGTTCAGGTGTGTTTGATTAGGGTTGGAGCTAAACTCTCCAGGACACCGGCCCTCCAGGACCGAGTTTGGACATCCCTGGCTTAAGGCAACTTTACACACCTAAGATAGTGACCTGTTTGCTCTCTACTTGTACTTCACAATTCACCAAACAGAACAATGAAAAATACATAACTGCCAATACAGTGACGCCTTCCCTTACTCACAGCTCCTAGACTCAAAGTATACAGTTGTAATTTAAGTGTTAGTATATTTCGGCCACCTCTTAGCAGCATAAAGCTGTAGGCATGTTTCAGATGATATAATAACCTTGGATAAAAATATCACGGTTTCATGGTATCATGGTTACTGCTCTAAAATAAGTTCTTTTTAAATGTGTGAGTAAAAAACAAAAAACCTTTTTACCCTATTGAACACTATATATGTTTTTAAGGAAACATTTATAATATTTTGGAACAGTAAACATATCAGGCTTAATAATTAAAATAAATAATTGAATTCAGCTGTCTTCATTAGTTTCAAAAACACAGAATTATTTACAATACATTAAAAAAACACACAAAAAAACTTACCTATACCTTATGGCCAGTGGTACAGTACGGTTCGGTTTGGTACGCTTTTATGGCCGTTTCCACTGTCAATAAGCGTACCGAACCAAAGCATACTGAGAAAGATAGAGGGTACCAAACGGTAGAGCAACACGCGCAGCCGAATGCTGATTGGTTACAGAGATACGTCACGAGCTCGTGGAGCTACACAGAATGTAAACAAAGGAGCCGCCATGTTCTAATACACAGCTGAGAGATTACATGGATATACTATATGCATATAATAACGAGCCATGGATGACCCGAGCTCAAACAAACCTTGTCGTCGTCTTGAAGAACAGACACAAAGCCAAGAAGAACAAAATCTGCCGTGTCCTGTTGTTGCTTTACGAGCCCGTCTAAAAGTGTGAGCGGTATTCGCTTTCTTCCAGGAGCTCACGATCTCGTCTATATTTGATATAACGAACTTCTTGAGCTGATGATAATAACGTGTGCGTGATTATTGAAGTGTCTTTGTCATCTGATCCATTCAGAAAGAAAAGGACAAGCGCGAGAGTGAAGCGCAGTAAAAAAGGAGAAGCACAGGAGCAAAATTGTTTTAGCAACCTGAATCATGAACAAACTGTCATGTTTATCATCGCCTTTTGGACTATTATGAACTGGGAATGACAAAACTACTCTCTAACAGAGCTTATGCATGTTCTGGTGAAGATTACAGAATCATTTGAGAGGATTGTGCTGAGTGTTGGCTATATTGCATGTGTTTTAGAACTTAAATAAGTTCTAAATGTAGGATGTGTGTAGTTTTTCTGCAATTAATAATATATCGGAGACTGTAAGGGTCTGTATGTGTTCATATATGTTGCATCTATATATTTATTTACTATAATTACAGACGTTACAGTAGCCTATTTTGCACTGTCATTGATTTGCTGTTATAATCAAATCATGTTCATAGAAATGTTAGTAATAAACATTTATAAAGAAGTATTTATGTGCATAAAGCATCTGTTTAGTGGGAAGTACTTCTCATATGATATGTAAAAGACACGTACGGTTGTACTATAGACATTTATTCGAGCGAGCATGGCGTCGACTTAAAATTTGTCATACACCACGCCCACCAAAAGGGTACCCTTTGTAGTGGAAACGCAAGCCTGATAAAGGTGACCCTTACCGACCTAAACCGTACCGTACTGTACCAGTCAGTGGAAACAAGCCATTGGGAATGGTATAACAGAAAATGTTTATGGTTTTAAAACCTTGACTTTTCCAAACTGCAATAAACCTTTAAACCAGTTATTGTCCCATGCCTCTTAAGCAGTCACTTTAATGCCACTTCAGAAACATTTGTGCTATCTCTTGCATGTAAATAAAGCATTTAAGGCTAAACTTGTGCAAATTAGTAAACACCATGCACAGCATTTTCTATCTAAAAGTGCAGTCTCAACCACCTTTGTTTCCTGCAGTCACAAACATTTAGAACTAATCATACTAAATTGTGGGTTGTGTTTTTAAATGGCTTTTAGGTTTTTTTAATACATAGATAATATAGCAAGTGCTTTTAAAAATATATTGAAATATGCCATATAGGGAAAAAGACATACGTTGAATAGGTACTTGAAGCCACTTTAGCTGTTGTGTGGTTAATAGACTTAAATAGATGTTTCAGGTACAAGATACTGCAAAAGTAAAGCACACATGTATAACAGTAATACACAATATTTATGGGAATGATTACATAAGTGTTTACAAAAAGCTGTAAAGATATGCTTGATATGCCATAAATACATGCTGATGAAAGACTGAAAAATGTTTTTATTTTCGTCATTTATACAAACTATTTACTGGTATAAATACCCTACTACAATGTTATATTGTTAGCAGTTTTACATTTGAGTTGTCTGACCTCTAGATGTAAGTATATTTACTATTTGGCTAAGAAATTTATTATTTTCGCAAAAAAAATTGCATGAATTATTCATTTTGGTTATAAAAGATGAGTTAATATTCTTTCAGTGTCTATGTAAATACTCCTGACAGTTTTTGAAAGCATTGATTGGGTTCCAATACTGCAGTAGAAAAGTTGCTATAACTAAAGTTCTGATGCTTTTGCCACCCCTGCCACCTGCTTTCCATATGCAGCAATGGCATTAATTGCACCAGGCAGATTGCATTGATTGGGCACATCTAAAACCAGCCTAATTAGCATATAAAGAATGTGCATTTGTGCAGAAAAGAATGAGAATGACTTCATTTAAATACACCTGATGCACTGGTACACCAGCACAGATAACGCCTGGTTAAACTAGATTACGGGTGGCTGGTGAATAAAACACAGGTGCAAAAGTGGTTGAACTGCATAGTGAATTTGTTCCACAAACTCGTTTATATGCCTGTTTGTATTTTAAACATCTAGAAAAGCTCTTTAGAATATTGCCTGTGGTTATATTCTGTTGTTTTTCATATATATATATATATATATATATATATATATATATATATATATATATATATATATATATATATATATATATACATATATATATATATATATATATATATATATAATATATATAATATATATATATATTATATTTATATGGATGATTGATTTTGCAGTTTTTCCTCTGTGAATTACACATGGATGCATGTGTGTGTATGTGAGTTGGAAGCACACAGCGAGTGATATTGTGTGCTCCTGACCTAATGAGCTCATGGTGAGCCCAGATCAGAGCAGCGCTGCAGATACAAGCAGTGAGGACATGCTACAAATGTCAGCAGAGAGAGAGAGCAAGACAGAAAAAACAGACAAGCAGGAGAATGGGTGATGGGACAGCTTAGGGCTGTAGATGAGCACAGTTTTTGCAAAGACAGTAGCATAACAAGAAAGTCTGATGGTCACATAAACGTTGCCTAGAATATTTGTTTTCCTGTGACATGTTAGGCATGCACTGTAGTGATTTAAAACCTGTTCAAACCAGCTCTGAATCCAAGTATACATTTACTGGAATTAATGTCAATTATTACTATTAGACTTTAGAATTCATTTGCTTCAGTTAAATGCTTCTTTGATTTTCTGCATCTTAATTAATTAATTTATTTTTTGTTTGGGGTGGTTAGATTTATCTTGTTGATGTATTTAAAAAAAACTGTTTACTGTTTTCTGTTTGAACATGTTAAAATGTAATTTATTCATCCAAAGCTGAAGTTTTTGCAGTCATTACTCCATTTCTCAGTGTCACATAATATTGATTTAGCTTCAAGAAACATTATTAAAACAGTTGGCTGCTTTGCAAGTTTTTTTTTTTTTAATAGAAAGATTTTAAGTACAGCATTTATTTAAAAAGGCACCTTTATTATTTAAAATCACAGTATTTAATAAGAAAGTAACTATATTGAATAATATCCATAAAGCATCTATAAAGCATCTCTAAAGCATCTGAAGCAAGTCATTATTCAAATCTAATCAGTTTGTTGTTAATTTAATTCAGTTCATTCATTTTAAAACAAGTTCAAGTGGCATTCAGTAAGCTCAAGTGTCATCAATCCCGTCACTACTCCTGTTGTAAACAAACACGCATGAAGCAAATACCCTGTATATAATCTTGCAGTTTCACAAGCTAAAATAAGAATTTATGTTTGTGCACTTTGCAAAACTGGTGTTGGTGAAACCTTTGGGGCGGCTTAACTGTTTTATGATGTAACAAAAAAAGAAGTTAAATGAATATTTAAACACTGAAATGCAAACTTTTGGCTAGACGTAATAATATATTTACAAACAAAATTGACCACCATGTGCAGTTTTCAGGTGCAATTTTTGTTTTATTTTTTGCTCAGCTGTCAGAATGGAATTGTAGGAAAT